GAGGCTGCCTGATGTCTGCTGAACCTAAGAGCAGTTCCGCCCAGTCTTGGTTCTGCCCGAGACTTGGGTGGGAGCAGAAGCCAGGGGCCAGAGGGGGCTCGCAGCTCTGGGGGACTTGCTGCTTCTCCTGAGGCTGGCGGCTGCAGGAAGGGGCAGGTCCAGGCAGCTGTGGGGAGCTACACCTCCTGGACTGGCAAGGCCGGGGCTCCCACTGACACTCCACCCCGCAGATCCCTTTCTGACTCCCTGCACTCGGTCCCATCGCTGGTGGGAGTAGCAGTGGCCCTCAGGGTTGGGGAGAAGTTATCTCCGTAATGAGATTGGCTCTGAGACGTTGGGGAGGATGGTGGAGAGGACCCCTCTCCACAGGCGGTCAGTTCCTCAGTCAAGAACCACCTGAGCTGCTGCCAGCACACGGCTGGGCACAGAGGAAGCTCAGCGGGCAGCCGTGCCCCACGGCTCCCCTCTGGTTTAGTTCTCGGCCTCTCATGTTAGGACAGTTTGTGGCTGCGTCTCACCTCCCCCAGGATATCGCTCCTCTCACCTTCCGGCCCCAGCACGGCTCTTGCAGAGCAAAGGCTCGGTCTGCGCCAGGGCTAGTCGCGAAGGCCGTTCAGTGACACCCGGCCCCTGCCCCTTTCACGTAGGGATCATGGCTTCCAGCAAAGCTGCTTGCGGGACCAAGGCATCTTACCGTCTCTGCCTGCTCTCCAGTGAGGCTCACCGTTTATGCCGCCATGACCCCCACCTTTAACTACGGCTGAGCACCTGGGACACACGCTGTCGACGATAAAGTCTCTAAGCATAGATACACCCCATATATTCTATATTGTATTACATACAGTACAATTCCTGGCAGAAAAGAAGGTGGCAGAGGAGCAAACCTGAGGTTAAGATGAGGGAGGAAAGGGGATAAGGGAAGCACCGTGTCTTTCAGCGAGGCTGCTGAGGAGCGGGGTGGGAAATGGGGGTGCAGACCCACGTAGCACAGGGTTAACGCTTCTGCGCTCAGATCATCTCTGGGGCAACCCTATGTGCGGGGCCCTCAAGATATCTCAAGGGATGAAACCATTTGAACTTAGAAACCATGGGGGAAAGGCCCAAAAGGGCCATGGCCTGTTAAGAGTGGCTGGTGCCCAGGGACTGGGAAAGCCCTTCTTACCCGCCCGCCAATATTTGTGTGTCTGTAACATGGGGCCCAGCAGTCATCACCGGGCAGGGGATCGGGGAGGGAGGGAGCAGATGGAGAGGAAAGCAGCATAAACCCCTCTGCCGGGGTGGGGTTCCTAGTCCCTCTGCCCTCCTCCTGTCCGCTCACTGTGGTCGAGATGCAGGTGCCAGGCCAAGCGGCCCTTGCTCTCACCAGAGAGGCTGAAGCTGGATTCATGAAGGTCCCTCATGCCTCCGTGTCGGGTAACAGGCCGGGTAGGAGTGTCTGCGAGTGGCGTTCCCATCTCTTTTTTCCCAGGATGCACAACGACAGCTACATCCCCCAGGTAGGGAGTGCGGTCCACTCCCCTCACCTTTAAGGTCTAATGAAGGTGGAGAGCAGAAAAGGGGAAAAGATGATGCCATCAGAGCACAGACACCATCAACCCTCAGGGCCAAGCCACCACCACCACCACCACCACCACCAGAGCCTCCTTGATGGCTGATAAGACTTTGGAAGCTGCCACTCTTCTTAGGACCCAAATTACTGCATGTGACAAAGCCTCCCTACATCTTGAACCCAGGGGTAGAGAATCTGCTTGTACCTCCTAAATAGTGCATATGTGTGTGAGTGTTTGCATGCATGTGCACAGAGATACCCAGTGACTCCCTTTGACATTGGTGGAATGTTTTCCAAGGTAGCGGGTAGACTTCTGAGGTATTCAGCTTTAGAGAAGCTCCCCTCACACGGAGCAATGTCATCCCCTCACTTGCCAGGCTCTCAAGAGGCCAGGCCTTTTATTGTGATCTGACAACTTTGTGGGAATAGAGGCTAAATACAGCTGATTTGGAGATTAGAACCCCCCGGCAGCAATAGTAGTTAATTTTGTACTCACAAAGGCAATAGAGTTAAGAGCCTATATTCTACAACCAGACTGCCTGGGTTCCGCTCCTAGCTCTGTTACTTGTAAAGCTGTGTGACCTTGTGCAAGTTATGTTACCTCTCTGTGCGTGTTTTCTTATTTATAAGAATACAGAGTTGTTATGAGATCAAATGAAATAGAACACGTAAAGCTCTGGCACACGGTGAGTGACATGTAAGTACCAGCAGCTGTTATTATTGCAGGGGTCAGTTCGGGGCTTAATCATATTACAGAGTTCTGCTGCAAGAGGAAGCGTGTTGGAGTGTGTGCATAAGGTCTGAAGGGGCAGCATAAATAATCTACACCCCAGGCACTCTTCAGTGACATAACCTCAGTCTCCTTGCTGCACAATGCTTGCTGAAAACCTTGTTGAGAGAAACAGCAGATAAGGGTGATTTCTGGAAGGCTCTTCACCTTACATATTCCTTTGCATTCTCCAACAGATCTGTAGTTAAGCTCAGTCCTCAGAATGTCAAAACTGGTCTGAAGTGTTTTAGCCTTTACCAGGCTGCACTTTGGGGTTCCGGGGGTGAAGGGTGGGAGTACAGACCTGGTGAATCCTGGGTGAGTGACCTTGGCAGGACCCGGCTCCCGGCAGCCCCTTGCTTTGGCTTTATACACTGGTCCCAACCGCAGAGCTACTTTCTTTCCTGAGGACCCTGCTCTGTAGGGACTGCTTATTTATAATTTGGGGGAAATGAAGTTTTTTGCCTACCTGCATTCTGTTACATAAGGGCTATACCAGAGAATAGGGAATAGAATTGGCTTTTTCTTGAGGACCTTATGTTGCCATTATAAGTGCTTTGGATAAAGGGCCTCTGAGTTGAATTTATATCAGTCCTAGAAGCTGAGCTCTTCCACTATGTCTGGCCCTAAGAGCAGTCTGATGTGAATTGGTATCTGTCTGACGTTCTTGTAAGGCTGGTTTTTACTTATTTATTTATTTATTTATTTATTTATTTATATTAGTTTTGGCTGCGTTGGGTCTTCGTTGCTGCACGTGGGCTTTTCTAGTTGCCACAAGCGGGGGCTACTCTTCCTTGTGGCATGCGGGCTTCTCATTGCGGTGGCTTCTCTTGTTTTGGAGCACGGGCTCTAGGCGCACGCAGGCTCAGTAGTTGTGGCTCCTGGGCTCTAGAGCACAGGCTCAGTAGTTGCGGCACACAGGCTTAGCTGCTCCGCGGCATGTGGGATCTTCCTGGACCAGGGATCGAACCTGTGTCCCCTGCATTGGCAGGTGGATTCCTAACCACTGCGCTACCAGGGAAGTCCCAGGTTGGTTTTTAGAAGGGCTTCAAACACTTTCTCTGCCCTCTTTTGATCCTATTTCCTGACTAAAACATCTTTTTTTGGGAAAGCCACAGAACTGTTTAAAGATTTTTTTTTTTCAAATTGAGATATAATTCACATACCATAAAATTCACCATTTAAAAGAATACATTTCAGGGGTGTTTAGTGTAATTCACAAGTTTGTGCCACCAACACTGTGTAATTCCAAAATATTTTCATCACCCCCAAAAGAATCTCCATCCCCGTGAGCAGTCACTCCCATTCTCCCCTCTGGCCAGCCCTAAGCAACCACTAATCTATTTTCTGTCTATGGATTTGCTTCTTCTGAACATTTCATACGAATGGGATCATTTAATACGTGGTCTTTTGTGACTGGACTCTTTCACTTAGCATGATGTTTTTAAGGGTCATGTATGTTGTATGTAGCATATATTAGCACTCCATTCCCTTTTATGGCTGAATAATATTCCATTGTATGGATATACCACATTTTGTTTATTCAGTAGTTGATGGACGTTTACATTGTTCCCACTTTTTGGCCTTTATGAATAACGCTGCTATGACATTCACGTACAAGATTTTGTGAAGACATATATTTTCATTTTTCTTGACTCTGTATATCCCCAAGAGTGGAACTGCTGAGTTATTTTGGCGACTCTATATCTAACATTTTGGGAACTGCCAAACTGTATTCCAAAGTGGCTGCACCATTTTACATTCATTTGACAATGAATGAGTGTTCCAATTTCTCCATATCCTCACTGACACTTGTGAGGTCTCCTGCCATTGTCCACATCTGGGAAGCATATTGGAGATGGGACCATTCACCTACCCGAGAGATCCTGAGTTCGTTTTTGAATTGAATACTGGGATAACTAAAGTCATGCTTTCTTTTTAGGTAATCCAAGTCTGCTCCCTGATAGAAGACCTGCATTTGGGCTGGGCTCCCAGGCCCTTGGTCATGATATTTCTAAGAACACCCACCCTTTCTAGACAGAATCTGGAAATAGCTAGGCGGGAGCATTTTGAACCATAATAATATTGCTTTATGCCGGAGGAAGGGAAGGGGAAACCTCATGATGCTTTCACCTGTCAGTTTTGTCAGATTTGTTCTTTTCTGATGATTTGGGTTCTCCACCCAGAGGCCAGGGCTGCAGTTGGTTCCCAGCACCCGGAGTTGTCAGGAAGGACGGGACAGCTCTCAAAGATAAGGCTGGACAATCAATCCCCAAGCAACGAGGGAATAGCCAGTCTTCTTTTGGGTGAAACTCTACCCAGAGTTCGGTATCCCTGGGGATAAGGTGGAGCCCCAAGCTTCAGTGAACACCCAGGGTGTTTACGGAATCCGAGGACTGGATGAAACTCTCACGATAAGACCTCAGGTCACCCCCGCATGGCAGTGAGCTAGACCTGGCTTGACCACTTCACTGGGGGGCCCAGACTCAGCACAGCCCACCCAGCCTACTGCAGTTACAGGGCGGCTGTGGGGAGTTTGGGGAAAAGAGCATCTCCAGGGCAAATATGACAACCCAGGCCAAGCCGGGAGTCCCCTGCCCCTGAGGGACGACAAGAAGCCTGGATGTCAGCGATAGCTATGAGCACCTCATAGTATCCCCGGACTCCCAGGGAGTTGGGGACCCTTCCCAATAAAGTTTACTTTGTTACAGGTGCTCCTTTTCTACTATTTTGATTGTTCCCAAAGTGACTATTCAGGCAATAAGATTTGGTGGAAAGACTGAGTGAGAACATCTTTGAGATTTAAAAGTCATATAAGATGTCGCCGCCAGGGGCCTTAACCTCTTCCCATTATATCTTTGTGATTATTGCTTTGTGAAACTTTCAAAACTCAGAAAGCTCCCCCCCCCCCACACACACACCTTACCTTTTCTCTCTGGACCAGCTTCTTGTAGACAGTGTCTGGGAAGGACCTCAAGGGGCAGAACTTGCCGGTGCCCTCAGCGCACATGAAGACGCCGTTCTCGTACACGACCCGCCCCCGGCTGATGGTGACCAGTGGGACCCCGTGGCAGCGCATGTTCTCGTACAGGTTGAAGTCTCCTCCCTGCACCTGGGTGCTGGCTGAGATGGTCCTGGTGGGAAGGCAGTGGCGGGAGAGAACGCTCTGAGAGGAGGTAAGGATGTCACAGCTCAACAGAAGGGAAGGTACTTAGCGGGAAGGGATGATGCTCAATGGGAAAAGGTGATGCTCAGTGGAAAGGGATAATACTCAGTGAGAAGGGATGATGCTCGGTGGGAAGGGAAGATGCTCAGTGGGAATAATGCTCAGTGAGGAGGATAATGCTAAGTGGGAAGGGAAGATGCTCAGTGGGAAGGGATGATGCTCAGTGGGAAGGGATAATGCTCAGTGAGGAAGATAATGCTAAGTGGGAAGGGAAGATGCTCAGTGGGAAGGGAAGATGCTCAGTGGGAAGGGATGACCCCCAAAGGCTAGGTTGGACTGTGTGCCCCACAAATTTATATGTTGAAGTCCTAGCCCCCAGTACCTCAGAATGTGACTGTATTTGGAGATAGGGCCTTTAAAGAACCAATTAAAGTGAAATGAGGTCATATAGGTGGACCGTAATCCAATCAAATGGGTGTCCTGATAAGAAGAGGAAATTGAGACACCAGGAGTGCACACACAGAGGAAGTGCCATGTGAAGACAGAGGGAGGAGATGGCCATCTACAAACCAAGGAGAGAGGCCTCAGAGTGAAATCAACTCTGCTGACCCCTTGATCTTGGACTTCTAGTCTCCAGAACCGTGAGAAAATAAATTTCTACTGTTTAAGCCTCCCGTCTGTGGTGTTTTATTATGGCAGCCCTAGCTGACTAATACACTGGGCTATACTCTAGGGGTCTTTCTGCCAATAGCAATCACTAACAGCCACACCTCTAACAGCAGCAGGGACAAGCCCCAGGCTGGATGCAGAACCCGGCTTCTCAAGTGCCCTAATGGAGGAGCAGTGTGGGGATCCCAGCAGGGAGGTGCGTTTCTTTGCAATTCAACTTTTTATCTTCAAAATCCCAGCACATTTTTGTCTATCTTGTTCACTGCTAGCTTGTGCACCTAGAAAAGTGCTCAGCAAATGGTGGCACTTTTCTATTTGTTGAGTGACTGAATGAAATTTAACATTAAAAAACAATTCCCATTACCCTGCTCAAATCTCTGAGTAAAGATGATGCCCTGGGGCTTCCCTGGTGGCGCAGTGGTTGGGAATTTGCCTGCCAGTGCAGGGGACAGGGGTTCGAACCCCGATGCGGGAAGACCCCACATGTCGCGGAGCAGCTAAGCCCGTGCACCACAACTACTGAGGCTGCTCTCTAGAGCCCGCGAGCCACAACGACTGAGCCAGCGTGCCACAACTACTGAAGCCTGTGCACCTAGAGCCCATGCTCTGCAACAAGAGAAGCCACCGCAGTGAGAAGCCAGCGCACCGCAAGGAAGAGTAGCCCCCGCTCGCCGGAACTAGAGAAAGCCTCCGTGCAGCAATGAAGACTCAACGCAGCCAAAAAAAAAAATAAATTAAATAAATAAATTAAAAAAAAAAGATGATGCTCATAATAGGTGAGTTATCCTGTGGCTTGATAACTCCTGATTCACTTCATTTACCCACTCAACTTGTGTTCGTTAACGCCATGAGTGTCAAGCGCTGTGTCCTCAAGGGGACCCACACCCTCAACAGGAGAAACAGTGTTGGTGGAAGAGTCCGGAACTGAGTGTCAGGACATCTGGTTCAGCCAGTTATTAGCTATGTCATGTGGGGAGTCCCTCTACTCTCTGCTCTTAGTTTCTTCAACAGTAAAATGGAAATAAAAACTTTAGGCTTAAGTGCTTCTTGGGGCCATGTGAAAAGCAAACGAGATAGTTGATGTGACCTAGCTCTGAAAAACTGTAAAGTGCTGTGCACATGGAGCTGCACTATAGCAGATCTTCAGACCTTCTTGTTCACTGTTGCATTCCTAGTGCTTGGACCATGGCAAGCCCTCAAGTATTTGTTGAATTGAACACACCTTAGGGTCATCTTGCTCTATGCTATAAGTAGTGCAAAGATGATATGCTTTTGGAGTTCTGTAATATAAGCCCCTTAAAATCCCAAGTCCCTCTAGCCCTGGAGACTAGCAGCAGGTTTTACTTTGTAGCTTCTGGGTCCCACACCACCACGTCGGCATCGGCTCCAGGGATGATGCGGCCCTTGCGGGGATACAGGTTGAGAATCTTCGCTGCATTGGAACTGGTAACAGCCACAAAACGGTTCTCATCCATCTTTCCTCCAACCTGAAACATTGCAAAAGTGTTAGGTCAACCGAGGCCCTGTGTGTGCCTGAAACCCCGGGTCACGCTTGACCCTGGCCTGAGGGCTTTTAGTTGGTCAGAACAATGGTGCTGAGAAGGACAACGCCACGGGCATCATCTCCGATGAGCCAACCTGCTGGGCTTGGTTCCATGCTACTCCTCTCTCCTTCTTGCAGCAATGGGGGCGGGTGGGCCCTTGTTCCAAAAGGTTGCTTTCCTGATGCAAATCTACCTCCTGTTTGTAAAACCAGGTCTACTCGGTACTCACTCTGGATAAATCAGGAGCTCCCCTGCATCCACGAAGGGACATATATTCTCTCCTGGAAAGGCATCTTATCGTCCCACCCATGAAGGCACCGTGGACCCTTTTCAAAGGGGATTCTGGAGCTGCCTCATGGGTCTTCCCTGAGCTGGTTGTTTAGGCTTGAGGATTTCAACTCTCTTTGGCCTCATACTCTATGCTGCATCTAATCTGTGATTAGGTCAAGATCAAAACTACTTATTCTTCATGGGCAGAACAGGAGGTATTCAAATGAAGTCCCAGTCTCTATCTTTATTATTGGACAAAAGATATCAAGATCTTTAAAAAGGTTCATATCCCTCGGCCCAGAAATCCGCTTCTAGGAATCTGTCCTCAGGAAATAATTAGAAATGCTGATGTACACTCATGAACAAAGAGATTCTCTGCAGCATTATTTCTAAGAGCAAAAATTTGAAACAGCTGAAAGTTCCAAACATTGTGGAAGGATTAATTGAAGTATGGCACTTCTGTTGGAGGGAATATTATTTAGCCATTAAAAATATGTTTTTCAAGAATTTTTACTGATATAGGAAGACACTCAAAATACACTGTTATATGAAAAGAAGATGAACCCAGTAATTAAAATAATGTATAGTACATGCATAGAGCTGGAAAGAAATATACCAAAGTATTAATAATTTCCCAGTATGGAATTATGGGTTTTTTTCCCTAATACTTTTCCGTATTTTCCAAATTTTTATGCTAGGCATTATTACCTTTCCGATCAGGAAAAAAAAAAAGACCTTTTCTGTTTTCCTTTTGAGTGAAACAGGAGCTGTGGTTGACCCAGCCCTCCTAAGGGTGAAAATTCTTCCGAGGCCCAGAGTGGGGAGGGGTCCTGGGAACATACCACTCCTCTCTCCCAGATGACGCTCATGCGGTCCTGTACGCCGCTCACGCCGTGTGGGATCTTGGTGAAGTCCTCCTTACCCATAGCTTTCTGCTTCGTGGTGAAAGGCCGGTGATCTGACGCCACAATGTTCAGAGTATCACTGGGTAGAGAGAAGGACATGACCAGTAAGGGGAGGGGAGGCCAGGGTCCCAGAGGGTGGGGACAGGGACAGGGAAAAAACCTTCACTTGGAAACCCTGCAAAGCTGGTTTCAATCTCGGCTCTGCCACTTCATAGCTGTATGACCTCTAGCGAGTTATCTGTGAGAACCTCAGTTTACACATCTGCAGAATGAGCATATGTGCCAACTGTGGCACAGAATGCCAGCGTCACGGGAGACACTAAGAGTTTTTAGATGTTAAGAGAACTAACGGGTGGAGAAAAATTGGACTTAAGAGTTTAACTAAGGGCTTCCCTGGTGGCACAGTGGTTAAGAATCCGCCTGCCAATTCAGTGGACATGGGTTCAAGCACTGGTCTGGGAAGATCCCACATGCCGTGGGGCAACTAAGCCAGTGCACCACAACTACTGAGGGCGTGTGCCACAACTACTGAGCCCGTGTGCCACAACTACTGAAAACCACGCGCCTAGAGCCCGTGCTCCACAAGAGTAGCCACCACCATGAAGCCCGCACACCGCAACGAAGAGTAGCCCTCGCTCGCCGCAACTAGAGAAAGGCTGCGCGCAGCAATGAAGACCCAACGCAGCCAAAAATAAATAAATTAATTTAAAAAAAAGAGTTTAACTAAAGTGAGAGGGTGGAGGTAGTTTTACTTCCATAGAACCATCTGCCGACTCCCTCTCATCTCCCTCCTCAACCCGCACCAGGCCCTGCTGGCAATAAGCATGTGCTTGGTAAAACACTCAAGTTCCATGTTAAGCTTTGCTTGGATGTGAGGGCTCTCCTGGCCCGGCAAGGAAGAGGAAGAACAAGACGGAAGAGAAGTCTGCCTTGATCAACCAGCAACGACATGCCGGTGGTTCATCGCCGCTGCCATCGGTGAACACGGTCCTCAGATGGTTGCTGAGGCTACGGTGGGTAAGGCACGGCCAGGCTCTCGAGGGGTTCCGGGCCAGCTCAGAACTCGGGGCAGAGACTTACATCGGTGAGAGTGCACATAGCATGCCACTCTGTGGCATGGGCTGGTAGCTCCCTGCACCAAAGGCGCTGCTCTGGGCCCTCTCAGAGACTGCAGGAGGGGCTCTTCCACAGAGCAGAGGGTTTATTCTAGGGTCTCCTGGGGATCCCCACATCCCCCAGACCTGCAGAACCCACCAGAGATAAACAGAAACTTTAGGTTTTCACTTTCTCCTCAGGGACCCTCCAGACACCCGGGTAGGGCTCAGATCAGAAGATGCCCATCAGAGTCACGGGTTGAGGGTCTGGGACCCCAGGACCCCATGCTTTAACTGACAAGTCTTACTGAGCACCCACTTTTCTAAAAAGGCCCCTACACAAATAAGTGCTCACTAGGCAAGAGTGAATGGGGGGCACATTCCAGAAGGGCTTTTGGGGTCCCCTGATGCTGCCCTGAATCTGGGAGGTATGACAGACCCATCCCTACTCTTTAAAGTTTAAAACACCACCGCCTTTTGTTAAGTACTTTAAAAATATATATGTTCAAATGAAAAAATTTCTGATCCCTTTGAGATGTCAGATTTTAAATAAAGGACAAATCCTTATATCTATAGATTGTACTTATTACCCTGGTATATTCGAAGAAACACATCCTAAAGTAGATCATTCTGAAGCAGCTCATATTTTCTTATAGAAATATGATAATTGGTGTCTGGGTTTTCTATCAAGTGCTTTGCATAATACCAATTATCATCAACAATGTCACAGAAGCAAAATTATAGTAATCATAAATTCCTAAAAATGTAAAAACTATGCTCCAAATTCTATAAAACTGCACACGTTTACAATATGCACTGATTAAAAAAGGGATCTGGGGACTTCCCTGGTGGCACAGTGGTTAAGACTGCGCTTCCAATGCAGGGGGCCTGGGTTCGATCCCTGATCCGGGAACTAGATCCCATATGCCGCAACTAAGAGTTCGTGTGCTATAACTAAGGAGCCAGTGAGTCGCAACTAAGGAGCCCATGAGCTTCAACGAAGGAGCCCACCTGCTGCAACTAAGAGCCAATGCAACCAAATAAATAAATAAATATTAAAAAATGGGATTCAAACTATTCTCATAATAGTTCACATGAAATTATAATTCTATTTAAATGAATAGAATTTAGTTAAATAATTTAAATAGGGCTTCCCTGGTGGTGCAGTGGTTGAGAGTCCGCCTGCCGATGCAGGGGACACGGGTTCGTGCCCCGGTC